TATAAACTCTATATTTAGCTGTGCCTATTGACTCACTGTGCAACTTTTGCTAAGTCATTTAACCTCTTTGTACTTCATTTACCCCATCTGTAAAATGGGGACAATGATGTTGAACCACTTTTGTAAGGTGCATTGAGACTGCCAGATGAAAAGTGCTATCTAAAAATGAAATATTATATGCCAGGCAGCGTGTATATAAGCACTGATTTTCCTTGATGAAGCAGAGAGGTAGGATGATCTTGTGGCTAAGGCCCTGGCTGGGAGTCAGGACTCCTGGGACAAACCTCCAGTTCTTCCACAGACTTCCTGTTTGACGTTGGGCTAATCATTTAATTTCTCATCTGTAAAATGGGGATAATAATCCTTTCTTAATCTGATGTGGCTATTTGCTTCTTAGGGGCAGAAACTGTCTCTTATTATATGTATGTATGGTGCCTTGCACAGTGGGTCCCCAGTCCTCTGAAGGCTACTGGAATTCAAATAATCATAATGGCATTCTGAATAAATTTAGTGCAATTTGGTTAGAAGTGAATGGCTCCAGAGACCTAGAACTTGCAATTCAGGTTACCATGTGTACAATGCGAACCAGAAACTCAATCTGGAGGACGTTTTTCCATTGAACTTGTTTGCAGTGTGTTTAAAATGGCAGTTTTCACAAAGACCATTTAACATACTCTTTTCATTTTAAGCTGATGTTGTCTGTAACATTTATGGTCTGTAACACAGTCACTAGACAAGCCTCCTTGATTTTCTTTCTCAAAGAAAAGACACCAGTGTTTCACAGTGAGAGTACCTATGGTCTCTAATTTTACTACTGTGAGGTATCCAGGCTTATTTTATATTGACCTTGCCTTTACAATGCAGGTAAGCTTTTGCCATCCTGGTTTTTACTGTAATCCATGGAGACATCAGTTCACTAAATTGTGACCCCATGTTCAGAGATATCCAAATCACCATAGAAATACAGCATGTGTGACATCCCTGGTTTAAATTAACTTTCCTGGGCTCCAGACAAATGTTTCATTATTTAGCAAACTTAACACAGTTTGAGGAACTTTTTCATACTGTCATATCCATGTGCTGGGACAGGAAGATTGTCATCAAACTAAGATCAATGAGTGTTATGAAATACTAAACCAAGTAAAAATGACAAGTTGTTCAAATATTTTAAAGTCATCATCATCATGTTCTCATTATGCCTCTGGCGTTTGGGCAGCAATGAAGCTCCTCCACTCCTGTCTGTTTCTGGCAAGTCTTTTCAATGGTTCCCCAGCTGTGCCCCAGTTTTTCAGCTTGGTTTCCACAGCTCTTCGCCACGTTGTTTTCAGGCAGCCTTGTTTTTGCTTGCCTTCAGGTGTACATCTTATTGCTACTCTGGTGATGGAATCAGTTTCCATCCAAAGCACATGGCCGATCCATCTCCAACACCTCCTGGCAATGATGTTGCTCAGATCCTCTTGGCTGCACTGTGTCAATTTTAAAGTACAGGATATTTATCTCGCAGATAGTTTTGATTGTGACTGTAGTCTCTTTTCATCTCTCATAAGAACAGTCATCTAATGGTTAGAACACAGGGATGTTTTATTCCTGACTTTCTGTGTGACTCCAGATGAGGCACTGAACCTTTCTGAGCTTTAGTCTATCCATATGTAAAATGATGATTATAACAATACCTATCTCACTTATGAGTTGAGAAATTTAGTTGATGATTGTCAAGTGCTTTGAAAGCCTTGGCACTTTAAAAGTGTAAAATATTATTAAAGGGTTAAATGAAGTCTTGTGAGCTCCAATCCTGCAAGATGCTGCTGCATGCCTCCTGTGAGGAACTGGTATGCTCTGGGAATTATTTTGGGAAAGTTCTAAGGCCTGTGCTATACAGATGATCACACTAGATGATCACAATGGTCTCTTCTGGCCTTAGAATCTACGGGTATGTCTACACTACAATTAAAACTGCGTGGCTGGCTCTTGGGCTATGAGGCTGTAAAACTGCAGTTTAGACATTTGGGCTTGGGCTGAAGTTGCTCTACTGCAACGTTTAAACGGCAATTTTACAGTCCCATAGCCTGAGCCCCGCCAGCCCAAGTCAGGTGACATGGGCTTGATGCAGGCATTTGGTTGCAGTGTAGACATACCCTATGAATCTATGCCCTCAACTTACTTGACTGAAATGGGAGTTGAGTTTGCAAGATAAAGTCCTTAAGTGTTAAGCAAAGTAATGCTGGGCTACCTTGTCCAGTCAATAGCCCAAAATGCATACGCAAAAACTTGAATGAGGTTGGACTTGTGCACACACCCATCCACAGCCCATTGTCTTACCAGCATATTCCCTTAGTATCTGCCTTTCCAGGCTGAATTTATGTGGACACTCTAACAAGAGGAGAAGAAGATAGAAGTTTCAGAGATGAGCAGATTGCATAGCCATTAGTTGGACTGCTGGAGCGTTCATGAGTGTATTAGCTAATTAATTTTTATTTTAGGACAAAATATTCTTAAATTTTTGCAAACTATTGTTTTGAAAAGGGCTATAAAATGAATAGGAACTTCAGTTCTATTTAAATTACAAGGCTACAAAGTAAAAAAAAAATTCACACTTTTTAATTTGTGAGGGGAAAATGTTTATTTTTAGTTTTTTCAAAAATATTTCAAGATTAATTAGCCCTAAATTTTCAAATGCCCGATTGCATCTGCAAAATTTACATCTGTATTTTGTGTACTTGCAAATGACCAGTAGGTGCAGATATTAGCACAGGCTAACTACCTGTCTCACAAGAGGAGAGATCTGCATGTGCTAATACTTGCTAGTCATTTGCAGGTACATAAAATTGCCCATGCAATTTTTGAAGGTACAAATTGCCCTCGCAAACAGCTGAGGGCTGACCACACTGAATTTCAGCCCTACGTAAAACCAAAATGTGCCTGAAGTTTTTAAGTCTCTTTTCTGTCTTTTCATTTGTCACAGTCTTCTCTTTTTTCTTCTACTCAGGTCCATGTGTAGATGCGCCTGATTATCGCTTTGTAATTGCATATACAAATATAAATAAAACACCATGCACTGAATGGAAAACTTAATGTAATTGTATTGGATCTGGTCCATCACAAAATTAATAGCACTCAGATCTGATTTGTCTCCTTGGCCATGATCCAAAGTCCATTGAAGTCAATGGAAAAACTCCCACTGATTTCAGTGGGGTTTGGATTAGACCCTGGGTTGCCGTAACATGAAATCCTCCTTTGGATAGCAACTCCAGCACAAAAGATGTGGGGCCTTCTGCCTCCCTGAATTTACTGGCATAAAACCTACAGTCTTCTAAAATGACTTTTGTTGTGTTTTCTGTCTTCTGTGGTTCTCTAGCTAATAACTAACCTAGACTGTAAACAGAAAACAAGCCTTTATTCTGCTATAAGGGAACATGCACAACTACATTGGTATATACAAATATTAAATAGTAGATTTGTCTGAGTTGCAAGAATCAGAGCTTGAACTGGATAGATCTGAAGGTGCCAAAGCTCAAGGCTATTCCGATCCATCTACAAGGAAAACAAAAGCTCTGGGTGTGAAGGCTGCAAACCAATAATTTTGTAGAAGTTTGTAATTTATATCTCTATATGAGCCAAACAAACAAAGTCAGTAACAACAGTGACTGTAATTGATTAGACGATTAGCTCATTTTCAAAATAATTCCGAAGTATTTGACCTTACTAGTGTGAAAATAGCTTTTATCTTTCTAAGAAGTATGATTTCTTTGTGTTTAACTCTGCTCCTAACACTTTTATGTATTCAGCTCTTTAAGACACACAACAAGGGTGACCAAGTCTAAGAAAAAGTGTTTATAATTCTAATAAGCAGAGTGCATGAGTTAAATATGACTGCTGGGTTTTTTTTTTAACAGCAGAGAGTATTACTTACTGTCACCTCAGGTTATAAGAAACTGCTGTGTGCAAACTATGATGGGAAGTGAAAGGAACAGCTCAACCAGAATTAGTAGAAGATCCTGTTCCCATTGTAGTCAATGGCAAAACATTCGATGACTTCAATGGGAGCAGGTTTGTGTCCACTGTAAATAAACCCTGTAATATTGGCATGTTTTTATTCCACCTCAGTAGAGTGTTCTGTCACATATTATCTCAGCTTGACTGATCTTAGCATTTTCAGTGACCTTTACTAAACATGGTTACATTGCTTCAGGTAGGGTCAGAGAGATGGAAGAATAGTTGAGAAGGTAGTTTCATTCATGAAATAGAAGTTTTAGGATCCCCGTCTCTTTCAAAGTGAAGATACCAATAGAAACTGATGTGTACGGATAGGAAGTCAGATGTGTGGTGAAAAATCCTAGGCCAAAGGGCAGAAATTGTTTAATATTTAAAAGGGAAAGTGAATAATGTTTTGTGTTTTGCTATTGCTGGACACAAGAGTTGCCAATGCCCTGTGTGTGTACTTCACAGCATGGTGCCCTTTTGCTTTGTTGAAGTAGTGGTATGTCTGTGGGCATCAGTGTAAGGGGGTTATTTGTTTCTTTTAAAAAAACAACAACAGAAGCTAAGTTTCAGGTCCAAGATGCTTGAGAGTCCCCCAAATATAGGTTGAAAAAGAGAGAAATTGTCACACCATGTGAGGGGAATGCTAAGTGCAGGAGAGAAGTTGCGTGTAATTAATGTGATAGTTTCCAGTTGTGCCGACATTCTTTAGTTGCTGGGAAACAAAATCAGAACGCAGGAAATGGAAGCTTTCTAACTCTACCCTGAATAAAAATATATTTTAATGACAGACATGACCAAAAGTACATCCTCAGCAGGCACTAAACCATTTACAATGTCAAATGCGTACAATATATAAAGAAACACAGGCCTCTAGCCTGCTCATTTAACAGAGCACAAACATGCCTACACCTTTTTGAATCATGTGAAGAATTACCATTGCCTGCCAGTTCTAGCATGAAGAAACATTTCAGAAACGATAGCAGGACTCTGTTGCTTTGGCTCCTGACGAAGCATTGTATAATCATCTGCAACAGATTGTCTAGTGTGAGTATCAGGTAATGAAATGACAGTGCATGGTAATAACTTGACAACTAGATACAGCAATTGTGCATCAGGTTTTCCAGAAGGCAATCTTCTGGAAGTCAGGTCACAACAAGTGAGTGTCAGATCACAGGAAAGAGGTAGGATAATATTATGAATGAAGATAATTGTAACCTTGTCTTGCTCTGTTTTGGGACGCAGGGGGAAAAAGCCTGCCAGAACAGATGGCTTGATGTAGACAAATATTTTGTGAGTATGTGATTAGATATGACAGTCTCTACTGTTTCTTGCATAAGGCTTTTGATAGCGGAAGCAAAGTCAGAGATTTAAGATTATAAACAAGTGTTTATCAGTTTAGAACTGGAGAAAGGCTTGATTTTATTCAAATAACTACAAGTACTTCTCACAAGTGGTGTTAGAAAATGTGATTTATAGACAAAAATTAAAATCTACACAAAATAATGCTGTATTCTGCCTGATAGCTTCATAAATGGACATTTATCTTGTTGAAATAGTCAGATCACAATTAAGTAGAAATAGACCCCTACAGGCTTACTTTAATTTAATACTGATAAATCGAGGGGGGGAGGGGAAACTGCTGTACAAGCAAAAGCTCACAGACTGATCACCTAAATAAATTAGGTCCTTTTGTGTTACGTTTCACACCTTCTCAGACTGCTTATTACATATCACAACTAGAGCTGAGCAAAATGTTTCCCCCAAAACTTTTTTGGTAAAAAATGCAGGTTTGTGTCAGTTTCACCAAATTGTGTTGGTCAAAAATAACCCCCCCCCAAAATCTAAATGATTTGTTTTGACATTTTCAAAATGAAATGTTTTGATATTTTGGTTCAAAATGACTTTCATTTCAAAATTTCCTTTAATTTTTGTTAAAATATTTTTGAATGTTTTTAAATGTTTGAAATAAAAAGAAAATATATTGGTTTTGTCTAATTGAACTGTTTCATTTGCCTGGAAAATAATGTTTTTGATTTGCCTAACATATGAAAAATTTCATTTTCAGTTCAATGTAAAACCATTTTTTTTCTAGTTTTCAGAATTGCCAGCAAACCAAAAATGACATGATTTGCAGAGCTCTAACACAACAATCCCACAAGGGAAGAAACCCATTACAGTGTGAATAAGAATGTGTTAAAAAAAATCTATAATTCAGTACAGGTCATTTTTCATTACAGTAGAAAAGATACAGTAAAGGAAAGGGGAGCCCCATGTTCTGTTCATTACATTTATGATGGACCTATTTCATTACAAATATACAGTCTTCTGGTGGACTGGCAAATGTAAACCATCAGCAGGTCATGATGTGTGCAAATGATTTTAAATGGTTTCATGCTGCATTTTCTGGGACCTGAAGACCTTTCTGTAGGCTCAAAAGCTTGTCTCTCTCACCAACAGAAGTTGGTCCAATAAAATATGTTACTTCATCCACCTTGTTTCTCTAAATGGAAACATGCAGTTACGAGGGGCATAAGGGCCGACTCCGTGGGTGCTCCAGGGCTGGAGCACCTGTGGAAAAAAATGATGGGTGCTTAGCATCCACCGGCAGCCCCCCTACCAGTGCCTCCCCTTCCTCCCAGCATCTCCCACCCATAGGCGGCCCTGCCAATCAGCGCCTCCCTCTCCCTCACCCCCCAGCACCTCCTGCCTGCCGCGGATTAGCTGTTCTGTGGCATGCAGGAGGTGCTGGGGAGAAGGCGGAAGGAGCGAGGACTGGGTGCTCTTGGGGGATGGGGCGGAAAAAGGCAGGGTGGGAGCAGAGTAAGAATGGGAAGAGCTGGAGCGGGGGCAGGGCCTGGTGCAAAGCCTGTGGGGAGCACCCCTCAGCACATCAGAAATTCTGCCTGTATGACGAGGGGCAATTACTTGATAATTGTGCAGTGCTGATAGTGTGCTTGATACTGTATGACACAAAGGAAGATGCTGTTCCTGCACTATGGAGTTTACAACCTAAAGAGACTGACAAGGCAATTCAGACAGAAAAGGCACTGAGACAACCAGAGCATGGTTCTGATTTAAAGCACGTCCTTATTTATTTATTTTTATATTTAGCAGATGTTAGAGCCACATTCACTGATATTGGTTAGCACTGTGGAGATGGAAAAAATGAGAGAGGATGTGCCCATCGAATTTAAGCAGAGAATTTTCTGAAGAGAGCTTATACAATAGGCATGAAACAATTTAAAAACTACACCCGTCATGACCTGCTGATATGTTACATTTACCAGTCCATCACAATTAGTCCAATAAACGATATTACCTCACCCACCTTGTCTCTTTATTATCCTGGGACCAACACAGCTACAACACTGCAAACAACATGTTTCCTTGAGATAAATGCTGTAGTTTCTTCACTGGGAGCTCTTTACGTTTCACTAACAAAATAATAACGTTAATGGTATACTCACTCCTGTCTATAGCTGCAGTCCTTATGCACAGTTTGCATGGTTGGAGGAAACAATGGGTTAAGCACCCTGCTTCAGGTCCGTTTAAAATATGGTATGGGTATTTTCCATATAGCACAAATACAGTGATGTTCAGAACTCTTCATAATTGGCATATTGTGGTCATGAGGCCAAATGGAACCCTAAAAAGGAGGAAACCAGCGTAACTGAATGAAATTGTTATGATGGGAGAATTGTAGCTATTGGGGAATAAAGCGCCTGTGTGGCAATCACATGGTTGGTAAGAGCTGTAACATGCTCTTCATCCCTCTTCAGTGCAGAGGCAAGAACTTGTTCGTGGATTTCATCTTCACAACTTCTTGTTATGCCACTTCCTTCTCTCATAGCTTTTGCATATGAAGCTGTGTAGTGTCACTTCTAACACTAAGATTGATCTATGCAGAAGTGTCACTGAATTACACAGCTAGTTTCTAGAATATTTCAAAGGCTGGTACTGCATGCCTAGGCAATTACAAATTAAAATCTTCCACCAGGCAGGCTAGATGCTACATTGTAAGTAGAAAAGATTACAAATGGAGAAACATTACATTAGGAATTCACATACATTGATATCTACCCACCATGCAGTACTAACTATGGGCACACAATCTACTGGTGCACAATCTTCAGTATGAGACTGATCTGGTCAGCAAATTTCAATTGAAAATATAGAGAATTATTATAATCACTGATGAGATACTTTGACAATTAAGAATATGCAAAGTGACAACATTTCATGTTAGTATATTACAAAATGTTGATATTTACATTTTTGCCAACTGTAAACATCTTCATCATTTCTGAAGATGAAATCTCACCTATGCAAAATGAATGAAAATCTTCTAGTACATTATGCTTTGGTAGCTCTCACCAATTAATACCACGTTAAGATGTTGAAACTAACATAAACAGTAAAAATTGTTGCCATAGTCATGTTTTAGTGTTTCTGAAACTATGCAAAAAATGACACTCATTTTGGGTACCATTGTTTCACATCCCCTATAGGCTTATGGCACCACTTGACAGTGACACATCATACCTCATCTAAACGTACATAAAATAAGCTTTCAAATGATATATGCTATGGGTATATGGATACATTAAACTCCAAACTACGGCCCTTTTGGGAGAATTTCTGCACACCTAGTTTACCAAGGGTGATGTGGACTCTTCAGTATTGGCAATTTTCAAATCAAGATTAGATGTTTTTCTAAAATATATGTTCTAGGATTTATGTTGGAGAAGTTCTATGGTCTGTGGTATACAGGAGGTCAGGCTACATGATCACAATGGTCCCCTATGGCCTTAGACTCCCTGAATCTATTGTGAGGAAGGGGAGGGCATTGCATGACATGGGTATTGCAGTGTGGAAAGTAGGGAGTCATCCTGATAAGCCAGTCAGAGGTAGGCTGGGAGAGGGCCTCAGCAACCTAACTTACTGTTGCCTTCCACTTTCATTCTGTCACTGTGTGTGTGAGAGAGAAGACTGTACTGTACCTCAGGCAGAGTTGTTCTAGTGTGTTGCCTGTCCCCACTGGGTATAGGCTAAAGATCAGGCTTAGCTTTTATGTAGCCCACATGAGTGCTTAGCACTCCTGAAAATTGAACCAGACAGAATCTTGTTAAATCTTAAATTCTCCTCTGAAACCCCCCCACATTGTAAACCACATAAAACCCAGTTTATCTATCTCCAGAAGATGAAGGGCTGAGATGATAGTGATCTGTCTACTCTGTTATATCCTGAAGCTGTACTTCTGAGACAAGCATAAGTGTAATTACTGTATAGGAGGCCTCTGGAAAATACAGTCATGCAGCACAGCTGAAGAAAGACAGAATTTTAGCAAAACATAATACATTTCTCAAACAGCTATTAAAATGTGCTGTTTTATTTTTATTCTTTAACAAGTTTAACTGAAGTAAATTATAATAATGGACAATGAATATTTTATTAGAAAACCCAATATTAATGGACTAGATGACTCAAGAGATTGGTAATGATGTAGAGAACCTCTTGCCTCTAGGTTGCCTTTTCAAATCGGACCCACATCAGTTTTACTGACTGAAAGCTATTAGCTGTTGGGCTATTGGGCTGTTCAGTGATTTATGGTAGGGATAGCTGGTAGCAACCCCTATGTTCCTACGTATCCAAGGATTTTATACTGTGCTGCATCACCACAGTGTCTGAGCACCTTCTACATAAAATCAATAGCAACGGCAAAGTCCCTAGCAGACTTCATGGTATATCAGGCAAGTCTCCCATTTCAGGGTTAAAATTCTACTGGGGATAGGCTTCTACTAGGGCTTTTAAAATTTTACTCATTTACTTTTGTTTTGCAGCAGGGGAGGGGTGCTTCAGGGTTTTTTGTTTCTTCTTTTTTATTTTTTCTTGGATGGTTGGTTGTAGTTTTTTGGTAGAAGGGAGTGTCAATGTTGGAAGTGAGACAAGGCCTTTTTGAAGAGGACAGTTTTGGAGTATTTCCTAAGGATGGAAAGACTCTGGATTCATCTGATTTCCTCTGAAAGACTGTTCCCTACCCAACTACCTTGGACCGAGGACACCTTGTCCCCAGCTCTTGCGTGCTTTTTCCTGGCTTTGTGATCTGCATTGTCCCAGAGGAGTGCAGCTGTCATGTTCATTCATAGATCAAAATTTGGTCTTTGCTACAGCTGGGGCTTGATCCATCTGAAAATTAGGATCGAGGCCCTATACTAGCATCAGAAGCTGTCTGGGACCTAGTGAAAGGATTTAGGCCTGGGCCTGATGTGCTCCCGGCACCCTAAGCTATGGGGAAGGCAGGCAGTGGCATTCTGTACCTCACTTTCATTGTACATTGTCCTCACTTTCAGCTTCCTATAGACCGTGGATGTCACTTAATAGCAACCCTGATATTAACTTCTGGTTAATGGCAACATTTTGCTTGGAACCAATCCCATCCATTGACTTTTAACTTTCATGGGGTTCGGATATTGGTACCAGCATGCAGGTTTTCAGAGCTGCCGCCAGGGAGGGAAGTAAGGGGAGGTGTCTTCCCTGGCTGAAGTCCCACAAAGCTGCCTATGGCCAGTGCCCGGGGACTGCATTCAGCTTGAGTCAGCTGCTCTTCATCTAAGAGCTGATGTCTTACATGTTTTTGGACCTCTTTGTACTGGCAAAGACTGCACTAGTTGAGAATGAGAATATGTCTACATTGTATTCGCACCCTGTGATTGCAACTTGTGTGTAGACATACCTGAGCTCGCTTTAATTTAGCTAGCTTAATGGAACCAGTGAAGCTGTGGCAGCACAAACTTCAGCATGAGCTAGCCATGCGAGTAATTACCCAGGGTCCCAGGTGGGTTTGTTCTGCCCACACTGAGGACCATGTTGCCAGGGCTTCACTGCTCCACTATACAAGCCAGCTAACTTAGAGAAGGGAAAAGAAGGGATAGTGTGGATCCCTGTGGGAAGTGTCTGAAGGACTTTGAAACCTGCCAAATTCCCCTATGGATGACTTCTGGTAAGCCTAGCAAGTGTGAAGACCTTTAATTGTTTTCTGATATGCTTTCTCAGTAACGCTTTTGTTCAAAAAATAAATGTATTGTGCCTTGCAACAGCTGGCTGGTCACTGGTAGTCATGGCCCTTTGAAAGAGAGAACAAAACTGGACTAAGGTCAGACCTGCTAGATTAAACTTAGTGAAATGCAGGGATGCTGCAAGCCCAAATACCCAGTCTGAAGGAAGCGGGATGTGCCCCAAGAGACAAGACAGCTAAGATGCCTGAGACCTGAGTAAATGCTCTTAAAGAAGCCAAGAAGGGATTAGAGATGCTGATAAACCTGGAACTATGCCATTGGTCCTTTCAGTTCAGCGGGTGGGAACTATGAGGAAAGCTTAATTTTCTGATGTTTGGGGTATGTATGTGTGTGTATGTATGTATGTATGTGAAGAGGACTTTGGTCTGTATGGCTCTGATTGAGCAAAACACTAAAGCACATGTTTAACTTTAAACATATGAGTATTCTCAAGTATTTTCTTGACATCAGCAGGACTACTCACATGCTTGAATTTGCACATGTCCTTAAGAACTTGGTTGGATCAGAGCCATGGACAGTCAATCTACTGTCCTTAACAAGCCATTAGATTCTATTTAAAAGCATGTTTTAAAAAGAAAATTTTATTTACATCTAACTGTGCCCTGACAGAAATAAAAGAAAGGATCACTGTGATTAATGCCAGCATTTGGAAATAAATTATAATTTTTTCCAAAATCAGAATTACCATTGGGTTTCAGAAAGTTCAGATTTCAGACCGCTTGGCTTGCAGGAAGAAACCAAATATTAGTTCAGATTTCTTTAAATAAAAGACTTGAGGAAGAACCTTTAAAGTAGTTTATAGTGGGCTGCACAAGGAAATGTTTTCATTTGTGGGGGAGGGGCAGAGGAAAAGAAAAAAGTCTGACACTTCTTGTGACAAGCTGCTGTTCTGAAAGAGCATTTTTTGCTCTTAGACACCACCACACATCTGTGAAACAATGGCTTGAAGAAAAGCCCCTCTGATCTTGAACCACTTTTAGGGAGAAAGAAAAGGAGTACTTGTGTCACCTCAGAGACTAACTAATTTATTTGAGCATAAGCTTTTTTTAGGGAGGAAACTGTTTGCTAGGTTCCAGCAACAGGAAAATGATAATAAGATTGTAGCTAGGGGACATTATCAGTTCACACCATCAGCTCCCAGTAACTACAAAGAAAACACATTAATCTCAGAGGGGGGCTCACTCTCTCTTCATCCCTAAGGGAAGCTACTGCAGCCAATAGTGAGCTCTGAGTTGGCTTCTTCAATTAGCTGCTGACCTAGAGGCAAGAAACTACATTAGCAGTTCAGAGGAGGAACCATCTTAGCTGCAGGCAGCCACCTAGTGACTGGGAAGAAGCTAGATGAGATCCTAGTGCTCTGGGTGGAAGCCCAGGTGGCTCTGTCAAAGCTACACATTGCCCACCAAACAGTATTGTGGAAACCTCTCTATAAGCCAAAAGCCTAGTCTCTGGAAAAGTTTCCAGTGTCAAACCTCTAACCCTAGTCATGGGGGAACCATTGAGAGGAAGCTCTGCAACTAAAAGTCATAGTGTCATAGAGTTTAAGACAAGAAGGGACCTACAAAGTACCTAGTCTGACCTCCTATATATCAAAACCTGCGCACTAAAACCCAATAACCAAAATTAGACCAAAATATTACAGACCACTGGAGAGAAGATGATTATGTGCCACATGCAAAGAATAGGCAGGATCAAGATGCATCAATGCCCGAGGTCCCTGCAGCGGCAGGGAAATATACCCAGATAGTTCTGGCAAGTGATCCGCACCCATGTTGCAAAGGAAGGCAACTAAACTCCCAAGGTTACTGCCAGTCTGACCTGGGAAAAAATTGTTTCCCAACTCGACATATGGTGATCAGTTAGATCATGTGCATATGAGCAACAACCAGCCAGCCAAGCACCAGAGAGAGAGAGAGAGAGGATGCTAAGTGCCAACTCAGAGTCCTAGCCCACCCGCATTCAATGTCCCATCTCCAGCCATGGTTGCCTGATTCTTCAGAGGAAAGAGTTTTTTAAAAACCCTCCCAGAATACTTGGGGAGGGGAGGGGAGGAAGGAATCATCTGCAACTCTGAAGAAGAGTTTTAGGAACATAAGACATTAACTGGAAGTGAGCCCCAAGGCTGCGGAGCCCTATTCCCTCACAAGAAACCCATCATACAAGTGCACTCATAAATTTGTTCCAAGTCCAGCTCTCTCTTAAAACTAATTTAGTTAGTTGTTCCCACAACTTCTACTGGGAGGCTGTTCCAGGACCTCAGTCCACTGATGGTTAGAAACCTTTTAATTCTCAGCTTGAATTTGTTCATGGCCAGTTTACACCCATTTGTTCTTGGGCCAACATTGTCCGTTAACTTAAATAGCTCTTCACCCTCCCTGGTATTTACTCACCTAATATATTTATAGAGAACAATCATATCTCCTCTCAGCCTTTGTTTTCCTAGACTAAACAAGCCAAGCCAAGCTTGACACCTTTTAAAAGTGAATGATGAGATTAGCACCAGCAATTAGAGGGTTGAAAAAAATGGTTAGATCCTGATTGCAGGATTCTGGACCTATAAGGGCTGGTCTACTTATGTAAAAAAATTTTAGACTAATTGGTACTGATTGATTCAATAGTAAAGGAGGGATATGTTGGTTTGTGATTTGAAATATTAAAGTAAACAGAATATCTAAAACAGATATTTACAGAGGTCCATATTTAAATACCTTCAGTTAGTTCCTTGGTAGGCTTCAGGCTATAGGAAGAAGAAAGAAAAGGTAAGTGAAGGAAGATTAAAGAGAAAGAACAGAAAATTAATGGAAATAATTATAGTTGATCACAGCATTTGTCATTTCTTTCACTGGAATGCTGTAAGGAAATTTGGATTTGGGAGCACAAGGGATTCTGGAATATCAGGTCACTATATATACTAATAATTATAGAATATTTTTAATCCATAGATCTCAAAGCACTTTCAGAGGAAAGTAAGTATCATTATCTCAATATATAGATGATGAAACTGAGATACAGAGAGATGGGATGACTTGCCCAAGCTCACATGTCAGGGGCAGATCTAGGAGAAGAACCCCAAAGAGAATTCCTGAATGTTACTCTAATGGCCTGTCCCCTAGGCCATGCTGCCTTTCCTAAACTACTATGGTTTGGGAGTGATGAAGAGGGAAAGATTGTTGTAACGGGGTTCACCCACCACTCTGGTGCCTCTTGCCGGCTGTCATGGGAATTAGCTCTGCATGTTAAAACACCATCTTCGGGTGGTGCTTCACCACTGTCACTCCTGCTCTAGGACCCCCGTCTCTCCAAGGACCGTGGCATCCTCTGAGCAACACAGCCCTCCAGCCATGCCACACAGTGCTGCCCCCTTCTGGGAGACCTGCAGTCTGCTGTTCAGCCACTTTCCTTAGTGGCTATGCAGCAAATTGTCTGTCCACTTCCTCATGGCCCCAGCATCCTCTTTGCCCTTGCCTCAGGGGCTCAGCCTGCAAACCCCAGCAGCTGTCTCTTACTCCCCCTGGTCCCTGCTAGCAGCATTGCTCTGTCAAGGATGCTGTCCATTCTCTCAGCCCTCCAGACACACAGTCCTTCCTCACATGGGTTCCCAGCACAGAACAGCCCTCCTCTGCTCTACAGCTCCCTTTGCATATGGGCCTGCTTGGCCCTGCTTGGCTGCTCCCTTCAACCCTTTTATGATTGGCTGCCTCCTGTGCAGCCTCCCTAGGTCTCTATTAACCCCTTAGAGCCCATCACAGTTGTATAAACACTTCCTTTGAGAAATCTGGCTCAGTGATAGCTTCTCATTGTCTCCCTATTTTTGTTGGGATCTGGCACTGTTTTTGGGGTGATTTTTGTGATTCTAGCTAGTTTTATTTGAAACGTTCTCATTAGCATTTACTTCCCAGTCTTGTTCAGGGTAGATTCTCTTTAGTATATGCCTTTTTATTTTTACAACACTAAAATTTCTGAGATGAGGCAGAAATATGTACATTGTACCAGATCTTTTTTTCTTTTCTTTAAAGTTTGCCATAATTGAGTTTGTGTTTGTGATGTTACTTGGTTCAATTTTAGGCACTCACCATCCTGTCAAGTTTCGCTGGCATCTCTGAACTACACTAGGAAAATCAATTATGGTGTGCTGAAACAGCCTTGGATGAAAGTACATCCAACGAACTCTAGGAAATCATTTAGCATCTTCCAAATTCTTAGACTAAAAAGGTAATTGCTGCCTCCTCATTACGATTAATTAGCCACCTCTACTAAAGTCCAAGACAAATATCTGTTTGCAATCTCAAAGAAAATCAAAATCACCGATAGAGGCTGCTAAGGTACTGTCTTGACTGTTTTGTGAGCTGTCTACACTGAATTAATTGCATTTGAATTATATATAATGATCAACTGTGAAGCCGGGCACAGGAGCTCTGAAATAAATAGACCATGCTCACAAAATACAAAAGAGTCACAAGTGAAGGGATTCTTACCTAACCAATGCTACTATGGTGAGACAGAATGCCAGCAAAAAGATTATAAGGCACTGCAAATTATTCATCAGGAAGAAGGACCCTAAGGCTAAGGTATGTAATCCAACAGAAGCCTTGTGTGTTTGTATGGAAGAGTTTTGAACACTAATAAGTACTAATCAGTCAAAATCAGCTCTAACTAACTCTGCTGACTTCACAAAGTGGGCCAGATTCACTGCTGTCCTGCACTTTTATAACCATCTACACCCATGTAAAGTGGGTGTAAAATGGTATTAAATCAGAAAGAAAAGCTCTTTACACACTTCTTCATGCATGTCAATTACTACACAAAGTGCAGGGCTATGATGAATTGGGTCCCATATATTTATCTTTCCTATGGCCTCATCACGTGAGGTGCTGAGGAGTCTCAACTCCCCTCCATGGATGTTGAGGGCTTTTTGGTACCCTCAGTCCAGCAAAGATTCGTGCATATGCTTTATGTATGCCCTATGAGTAGCCCCATTGAAATCACAGTGCATAAAGCTGAGCACGTGTCTAAGTCTTTGCAGGATCAGGGTCTTAGTAAAGTAACTTGACTAAGAGGACTACTGGAAAATCACCCAAACAGCAATATTCCCCATTCCAAGCATTTGGCCTTGATGATTGCTATTCCAGTTGCAGAAAAGGTCAAAGATATAGACCTTGAAGGGGCCAGGACAAAGTTAGTAAAATGAGAAATACAGTAAACTTTAGCAAAATGGGAAGCTCTATGTGAAACGGGAAATTTCTCTGCAGTTGTTTGTTTTTTGATTTGGATCTTTTTAGTTTGTTTATTTGCTTTATGTTGAGTAGTTTCCTCGCCAACATTTACCATTTTTGAAGACTGATGAATCAAAGAAACAGGACACGAGTCAGAACCTTAAAAATAAAATCTGCAGTGAGGCGAGGATGTGCAGTGAGATGATTTAAAAGGTACATCAATGTTTTAGGAATGTGCGCCCTGAATATTAAACAAGCTTTTATGTTGCCAGAACGGCTGCCTAGAACCAGCCCTTCATTCTCTATTATATTCAAAGTGTTGAAAAGTGTGTAGGCAGTGAGTTCTCCCTAGATTATAGAGTGGTTCAGAGAATAAATGTGCACTTCAGCCAGATTGAATATAGCTTGTATCTGTTTAACTGCCTTATTGCTAAGTAACACAGAAGCTAGAAGGCCACGCTTCCGCTGATATGGATATATATAAAATAATAATAGTAATAATAATTAATAATAAATACAGAAATAAAAAGTAGGGAGAAAGGATAAATACCCACCATGCAGTCCCATTCCACAGATCAGCAGCAGTGTTCTGGAGTCCTGCCCTGTCCTCTAAGCTCTGATTAGCTAGGGGAAGGGCAGACAAGAGAAGCTGGCCACTCCACTGCTTGAGAGCCCTGGCTGGCTACAGAGCTGGCAGGAGACCCCACCCCTACTTACTGCTGCCAATTCTCCTTGGATAGATTGGATGATGGGATTAAGATTCAAGAAATGACTGCACAGGCTGCTGGAGAGGGCACATGCTGCTGCAAGGACACAGCAGACTGGGAGTCTGAGCTCAGAGTAGGGGAACATGCTACGGGAGGAGCCTATCTGTATGGCCACGATGCATAGGTGCTGGAATTAGGGGTGCTGGGAGTGCTGCCGCACCCCCTGTCTTAAAGTGAATTCCATTATATACATGGTTTGCAGTTTGGTTCAGTGGCTCTCAGCACCCCCACTATATAAATGGTTCCAGCACCACTGCCACCATGAGCTTGCATCACGGGCGATAATTGGCCAGAGTCCAAAGGGAAGGAGGTGCACTGACTGGTAATTGAGGGACTAAGGCTGGTGGGTCACTGGAACTGTTTGTTGGCTGATAAAGGTGGCATGATTTCAGGCTAAATCTCTGCCTCCCCAAGGCTGTAGAAGGGACCTTCACCCCAAGGCAAGGGGTGGGAGTTTGGAATTAACTAACAGAGAAGGGATTCCCCCACCATACCCACATTCTCTGAAGACACTTAATGGAAAGAATCATAGGTTTATAGATTTCATAGAGTTCGCGGCCAGAAGAGAACATAGATCATCAAATCTGACCTGCATATCACAGCTCATTAAATCCTACCCCAGTTACCCCCTAAATAGAGTCCAATGACTTTAATTAGACTAAAGCATTTCAGTCCTCCGGAGACACAACTGTAGTGTGCCACGAGCAGAGAACAGGAGAGACTGAGGTGCCATCAATGCGCAAGGCACCTGTGAAAGCAGGGGATTGATCAGGTAAGATATACCCAGGTCATCCCCGAAGGCACTTAACACTACATGCTGCAGAAGTAGGCAATGCCTATCCCTTACCTCCTGCCAGTGTGACCTGGGAGAAAATTCCTTCCTGAGCCCTAATCTGGCAATCAATTTGATCCTGTACATGTGGGCACACAGCATGGCACCTACAAAAGAGTATTCTCTGTACCACTTCAGAGCACTGTTTCACCACATCTAGTGTCCCACCTCCAGCTGTGGCTAACCTCTGATTCTTCAGAGGAAGGCGGAAAAAAACCCCAAACCCAAACAATGAAACAAAACCAGAATACATCTGACAGGTATATCTTTCCTGATGCCTGAAGGCGGCTGACTGAAGCCCTGAAGCATGAGATTTGATTATTGTCATTGTCTTAATGTGGAGCTGAGAGCGTTATGAGCATGTGGAAGGCAATGCAGGCATTCCGGTTCTCCCCGTGACCTATGAAGGAAGGGGATGAACAGGGGGACTCATAGATTCACAGATTCCAAAGTCAGAAGGGACCACTATGACCATGCAGCCCAACCTCCTGTGCAAACAGGCCACAGAACTTTTCCCAGAATATAGCATATCTTGTAGGGAGACATCCAATCTTGTCTTAAAAACTCCAAGTGATGGCAAGTCTGCCACCTCCCCTGATGAGCTGTTCCAATGTTTAATTATCCTCACTCCTAGGAAATTGCATCTTATTGCAATGCTGAATTGGTGTAATTTCAACTTCCAGCCATTAGATCTTGTAATGCCTTTACCAGCAAGATTGACGAGCACCTCACTGTCAGATCTCTCTTCCATGTGTAAATACCTATACGCAGCGATCAACTCACCTCTCAACCTTCTCTTCGATACACCGAATAAGTTGAACTGCCTTACTTCTACATGATATTCCACGCTTTATACATCCAAGGATCACGTTAGCCCTTTTTGCCACAGCACTGCTCTGACAACTAATACTGAGGTGATTTATGATTACCCCCAAGTAATCATAAATCATAAACCCAACTTTGTTGGACTGTTACCATTTAACCAGGTGACTTAGACCACTCTGTAAGAGTAACCCGTTCTCTGTGTACTACACCACCAATCTTTATGAAATCTGCAAACTTTACTAGCAGTGATGTTCCATGCCAGGTATCTGCATTAGGCCAAATATTTCTGGAACACTTCAGCAAAAAGGGTTGAGCCATTTGTCAGAATGAAGTTAGGGGACAATACGTTGTTTGGCGCATAGTAATTTTTATAACAGACATTTAATGGAGAAGCTCTGCTATCTCAATGTCTTTGAGCAGGAATTGAAAATTGGCAGGAGGATTGTCCTGGTGTTGTGGATGTGCCTTTTACTATCCTCATGAAAAACTGCCCAAATTTGGGAAAATTATAACCCTTCAAGACGTCTCAGTTCATACATGTTCCATAAAGACTTGTGTGGCAGAGTGCGAAGAACCAGCAGCTGAATCAGTACTCTGGTCATTGTAAATCCAAATAGTTCCCCCAGGGAGGGCTTGATTGAGGGAAGGAGTGGCTAATTTCTAGATCAGTTTGGGCTGAGGAGAGCTAAGGAGCTAATTAGCCTGTAAGAGTAGAAAAAGAGCACAGGAAGGAATTGCCAGGAGAGGAGAAGAGAGGAGAGAGAGAGAGAAAGAAAGAAAGGCAGGATGGTCGGCTGATCGGCCAGCCAGGGTAAGGGGACAGCTCTGTGTGAAGATATCTCTTCCCTCTCTTATGATTGTATGACACTGTAAATAGAATTACTGCATAGGTCTGGAAGAGGGTGATGGTTGATAAAACACAAATAAAGTACACAATGGTAGTCACGAACTGGAGGTGTCAGAGCCATTTATAAGAGAAGATAGGAGTGGAGGGCCACAGCCTGTCACACTTGCCAGAGTATGGCAGCTAAATTTCCCCAAGAGTCCATATGTAGTGGGTATGGCCCACCCCTGGACTCCAGGAGCTGATCAGGGTTTCCCCTCAATTATTGCATCTGGCATCGAGGGTCTGCTGTGGCACATGGCACAGGAATAGAGAACAGGGAGACTGTGAGCACTAACCATCTTGTACACTGAAAGAGGCAAGGGTCCTGTGGAAAAAATTGTGTGTGTACATGTAATTAAAGTTGATCATAATTCATATGCACAAGGGGGGCTGAATTAAGGTTGTGCAGGGCATTTCCTAACTCTTGAGTGCTTGACTTGACTTTACAACTGTAACTTAACATAATCTTTTAGTGTGTACTTTTATGAGTCCACAAAAAATGAATAAAATAAAAATTAAGAAAGGAGATGATGAGAGAAATGACTTTGCTAGAAGCAGAGAAGTTGGCTGAATAGAGTTATCTTTTTCAAGTGGAAGAAAAACTCATCCTGTTCCAAAAAGTTTTGGACCTATACTTTGACGACATGGCTTCTAGCTGGCTTGTATAGCTAAGTAGCTGAAGTGTTTGGGCAGAGGGAGAGGAGGAAGAGGGATGGATGGTAATGGGATTGTCAGACTGAGATCACAGGTATTCATAATTAGCTGCTATTTTTTCTCTCTACTTTTTAAACATGATGGATTAAATTCTCTCCTTTACTCCAACTCTTTGGCGCTGCTTTGGCAGCACAAAGGGTCCAGAGAACTACCAGATCTGCTCATCTGGGGTTTCTTCCAGCTTGTGGGAGTCATAGGGTATGTCTACACTGTGAAAAAAAAACCTGTGGCAGCAAGTCTCAGCACCTAAGTCAACTGACTCAGGCTCACTTTACAGGACTAAAAATAGCAGTGCAGACATTCCCACTCGGACTGGAGCCTGGGCTCTGAGATTGACTTGGACTCGCAGGGCTAAGAATAGACAGTGCAGATGCTGGTCTCAGAACCCGGGCTCCAGCACAAGCGGGAACATCTACACTGCTATTTTTAGCCTGATAGCACAAGCCTGAGTCAATAAACCTGGGTTCTGAGACTCACTTCAGCAGGGTTTTTTCTTTGCAGCATAGATATACCCATAACTGTCAGAGTCAGCAAAGCCAGCTCCTGTACCACCCCCTAGAGCTTCCAATGTAGAGTGCGTGTCGGGGTGGTCTGGCCAGAGAAGAACGGATGGATAGCTCCTAGGGGACTAGAGCCAGTTGGTGCACTTTAGAGCAGCCCATTGGACACTGGGTACAGAAGAGAATCCAGAACAAAGTTTTTAATTCCACTCCCCCTTCTGGATCAGAATTTCACAGCTTGTTCCCATCTTTAATTCTTCTGAAAGGTCATACTGATATTATTGCTCCCTTTCATGAGACACTTTGTGCTGCTACATCTGGACTGTAGCTAACAAGGACTGAAAGCTAACAAACACTGGTTACCTGCTTATGCCGCATGAACATGGGAGCTGGTGTGCTGAGACCCCAGCCTGTCATATTGTCTCTTTGCTTCCTAGTACTCCTCTGTTGCTCTGTCTATATCCATCTGTTGTCTCTTATCTTATACTTAGACTGTTAGCTCTTTGGGGCAGGGACTGTCTTTTTGTTCTGTGTTTGTACAGCGCCTAGCTGAGTGGGGTTCTGGTCCTTGCCTGGGATGTCTAGGCACTATGGTAACATAAATAAATAATAACAATCATAATTAATACCATGTGGCTGTCTAAGTTACTAGTATTCATGGGGGCCCAGAGAGAGCAGGACTATATGATGAAGAATGTATTGCAGAACATTTTTTGTAGGGATACATTGTTATTTTGATGATCAATATTTTGAACATGTTCATAGTTAAGGGCATGTAACATATACTATGTTCATTATTTTGATGCTCGAACAGTGATTGTTACATTTTCTAGTGAGGAGAATCATGAGGTAATCATTTATTTACTACTCACCAACAGATAGTTATCACCATTCTACTTAGTGACTTAGGCTATGTCTACACTACAGCCACTGAATAAACCACTCCCCTGAGCCACATAAGTTACAATGGCATAAGCGCTTTCCCGTCGGCATAGAGCATCTTCACCACAGCTGTAGCGCTGTGCGTATAGACATGGCCTCAGTGTCTCCAGGCATCTACGACTATGTTTGGTGCAATTGGAGTAGAGACAGCATCCATATTTTCAGGTGCAGCTATGACAAGTAAATAAAAACAGTGCAATATCTAGGCAGGAAATAAGTATGTACTATCTGTTTAATTACATATTATTAGTTATATTTGTGGTCACGATGTGTTATTGCTTTGTATTTTGTGTTGCACTGCAGAAAGGAAGGCCCTGGTGGCACATGATTAGCATTATGCACATGAGTAATCTCATGGAAGTGTTTCAGAGTTGCAGCCGTGTTAGTCTGTATTCGCAAAAAGAACAGGAGGACTTGTGGCACCTTAGAGACTAACCAATTTATCTGAGCATAAGCTTTCGTGAGCTACAGCTCATTTCATCGGATGCATGCAGTGGAAAAGATTTATGTACATAGAGTGGGGAGATTTATATACATAGAGAACATGAAACAATGGAAGTGGTTGGGACTAGTCATGGTGCATACAGTTAAACACATGCTTAAGTGGTTGCTGGACTGGGGATTTATTTGTTTCTGGTTGAGGACAGAATTGGAAACTTTTTTGGATTCTGTGAAGTCATTTGAATAAATGATACTGTTTTCAGTTTTTTCCAATGTAATAACTTTTCTCTGATTAAAACTCGGCATAGTAATTTTTGATATATTGAGATGGTGTGAAATAGTTTATGCGGGGGGCGGGGGGCGATTCTGTCCCGCATACTCACATGAAGCAAGGGTAGCAGATTTGGACCATTAATAGATATCTGTAAACCATACAGCTGATGCTTGATATTTTTTAGAAATCACACTTTTTATGAGATATTTTGTAATCCTGAATATATCATAATCTAGCCTCTTCATGAGAGAAATAGTATCATTTTGTAATTGAATATTTCATATCTGACTTCAGTCATATTTCTGTAGCTATAGATATATGTTATGGTACAGAGTTAGTACATTTGTTGTCTGGGATTGTCTAACAACTATAACATTTTCTATATAAGAATATTATTGATCTTTTCATTGGCTTACCAACATGAATGTAGTATTGGAAACCTCCAGCATCTTCTTGACATTCAATGTTTTAGCCTTTATCTTCTCCAGCATGATGATGATGAAGAAAGGGGATGGGTTTGGGGTTTTACAGTTTCAGCTATGAAGTAGAAATAAAAAATTTCAGGTGGAGAATGACTATGAAGTTGTTTCTCTTTTCCTGATCTGCCCCTACTGCTACAGTGGAGTGGGTGGGTTGAATACAGTTGCTCTCCGAGCTAGAGTTTATGGAATTGTAGGTAAAGGGTTAAGATGATGCTGTTGCCCCTTTCCTTGTTTACTCTCTTACTTCATTTAACTGCCTCAGCTCTGAGCCAGGGGACTGAGATTCAAGCAGTCAGAGAACAGGGTGGGAGTATTTTATGCTTCACACTCTCCCACCCTCAGCCAACAATAAATTCACCCACCAAACATGATTATGGCATGATTGCAGAGAGGACTTTCAAAAGAAGAACGGACATCATGATGAAATTGGCCCAGCACAGAATGCCTGTGATTAATAAGAGCCATGTAGATCAGGGAACAAGTAAGCTCAATCACCACATAAAAAAGGTAGCCAAAGCTTTGCTACAAAAGCCATTTCTCTTCAAAGATTGGTCATAAATCGGTCTGCGGGGAAACATTCCATCCTCTAGGCAAAATTCAATCAGCAGGTCTCTTTCCACACTCGTGCAGGACTCACATAGTGATTGAAGGCAATGTGACTTCCTCCACGCTTGTTTCTGTTCTTCTTTGAAGCAGACCCCTTCATCTGTTACGCCTGTATATATGCCTGGTTCTGCCACATTTACTGTGTTCAACTATTTTGATGATCAAAGAGTACTTATTTTATATTTTCTAGCAAGGAGAATCTTTACGTTTTATTTTTTTAGACTCACCAATATACCGATATACAAAACCAATATATCATTTTCATTACTCTGCTTAATGTCTCCAGGCATCTGAGCGATGTTTGGTAGAATTGGAGTACAGATGGCGTCCATATTTTCAGCAGCACCTATGAGGTGTAAATAAAAAAATGGCACCTATTTAGGCAGGAAATAAGTATATATTATGTCTTTAAATCTGTGCTATTAGTTATATTGATAGTCATAGAATGTTCTTACTTTGTATTTTTTGTTGCACTGTAGAAAGTAAGGTCCCAACCTTGCTAATACTTATGAACAATCTTAGCTTTATGCACGTGAGTAATCTCATTGAAGTGACTGGGAATGCAGACTGTGCACAAAGTTAACCATATACTTATTTATTCACAGGACTAGGCCTTACTGAGGCCTATGCAACCTAAATTTGACTTCCTGTCACCAGGCCTACTGCTGGCAGCACTGAGCAGTCTTGGCTACTGCATTGATTCCATTTAACTCCACACAGCTTTTGTGTCCACAGACTGACAGCACAGAGGAGCTCCTGATTGGAGCAGGTGGGGAGGCTATGTAAAGGTCCGAGGAAGTGAATTCAGTCATTGGGCTGAACTAGCTTCCACACAGTGGTTCTGAGCTCTGTGCCTTGGAAGCAAACAATTCCCTCTTAACTCTAGTAGTACATCTGCCCAATAGCTAGCCAAGCTACTCAGGCACTGGCTGTAGATTTCACTCCCAGTGCAACTACAGGGAAGAGAGGAAATGTTGTGGAAGAAGAGAGGTTGCTTACTGCAGCTTTCCTCTCCTGGCTGGCTGTCCCTTCTGACTGTAATCTGGGTAGAGAAAGTGAGTGATTAGGTGATGAGGAACATAGAGGAAAGAATAGAGGGATGGGATGGGAAAGGGTGGACTCAGGGGAGAAGAATGGAAGGCCTAAGTAGTGATGGAGAGAAGGAGAGTAGCCAGAAGAAAAAAGAATATAAATGGAAAACAAAGGGGAAATAGAGGAGAAGACAAAAGATTTGGGAAAGGAAAGAATGAACATAATCAGGATGGGGAAGACAGAAGGGAGATAAGACAAAATCATGGAGGGAAGAGAAGACAAATTGGTGGAGGAGAGATTGGAAAAGACAGTTTTGAAGAAAGAGATACACAACAAAACATGTTTCAGAGTAACAGCCGTGTTAGTCTGTATTTGCAAAAAGAAAAGGAGTACTTGTGGCACCTTAGAGACTAACCAATTTATTTGAGCATAAGCTTATGCTCAAATAAATTGGTTAGTCTCTAAGGTACAAGAAAACATGGAGATGCAATATCATTACATTTTATAGACATTTTGTTTTATTCAACTTTTTGTACCCATGATTGAATGGTCTTTAGGTTATTTACAGTTGGAAAAATCTAAAAATGTCCCCGGCATGTAACCAGGGAAAGAGCGAGACCCCCTCCTCAGACTCGACCTCTTTTGGCACCATCCATCACCTTTACTCTGAAACTTGACAAGTATGTGACTCAGCACAGTGCCCGTGGGATGGGCAGGCCAACATCAGCCAGGGGCTGTGGTAGAAAATCAAGTTTAAAAAAAAATCCTATTCTTCAGCCTTCAGGGCTAAGTGATAGGGATTACCACAACACTGCTTTGTCAAGCTTTCATTTCCTCTTCTCATTCATGGAGTAATTCTTGAAATGTCCAGTGTATGAAAAGAAAAACAAATGGCGTTTACAATTGCTAGTTGAAATATGACACTGGCACCTGATTTTAAATGAGAAGAACCAGGTGAGCTAGTTAAAAAATGGCATGATGACAACCCTATCCAAGTCCCTCAGTGCAGGCAATTGAAGGAAACAATGTATAATGCTAATTACTCTACAGTAATGCCAATGTTCTTTATTCACTGAGGGATTTTCACTGGCACGGAGGGCCCAGTTGAAAAATACAATTCCATGCAAAAGACCATGTGCCACCAAAACATAGTTCACAATACAAATATTATCTCCCATGCACTAGGTGGATAGCGATTATATACTTTTTTCTGTAATCTCATGCAGGGTTGATTATACTGTACTATACAGAGACAGACAGGTAACGAGACTGCCCAAACTGATTGAATTTTGCTATCCAAATTTTGCCAAGCTGTTCTACACTGATTACAGCCAGTTTAGATTAAATGAATAATAATGAAATTAAGGCAAATTATTTGTTCAGCAAAATCCATTGCTATTTGTCTGGCATGTTGTAATGTAATTAGAGCTAATAAAACTATTAATTGTGAACAATTTATTAGTCACATTTGGCCTTTTTCTGTTTGTGAATTGTCTGTGAACACATCCCGGCTTTTATAGATTTTTTTTGTTACTTGTAATTGCTCAAAAATATTTAAACCTGTTCTTGAACTGTTCTGATCGAGTACTCTGGAACATCTGTTTTCAGAATGTATTATTAGGGCTGTCAAGCGATTAAGAAAATTAATCGTGATTAATTGTGCTGTTAAACAACAGAATACCATTCATTTAAATATTTTTGATGTTTTCTACATTTTCAAATATATTGATTTCAATTACAACACAGAATATGAAGTGTACAGTGCTCACTTTATATTTATGATTACAAATATTTGCACTGTAAAAAACAAAAGAAATAGTATTTTTCAAGTCACCTAATACAAGTATTGTAGTGCAATCATGAAAATTGAACTTGCAAATGTAGAATTATGTACAAAATATAACTACATTCAAAAATAACACAATGTAAAACTTTAAAGCAGCGGTTCTCACTGTGGGTCAGGACCCCAAAGTGGGTTGCAACCCCATTTTAATGGGGTCATCAGGGCCAGTATTAGACTTGCTGGACCCAGGGCTGAAGCTGAAGCCCAAGCTTCACCCCCACCCAGGGCAATGGGGCTCGGGATGCAGACGCTTCTCACCCCAACCTGGGGTGGCAGGGCTTGGCCTGAGGCCCCCTTTCCCCATACCCAGAGCAGCTGGGCTCAGGCTCCAACCTCCCACCAGGAGTCATGTAGTAACTTTATTGTCAAAAGGGGGGTTGTGGTGTAATGAAGTTTTAGAACCCCTGCTTTAGAGCCAATGAGTCCACTCAGTCCTATTTCTTTTTCAGCTAATCGCTCAGATAAACAAGTTTGTTTACATCTGCAGGAGATAATGCTGCCTACTTCTTGTTTACAATGTCACCTGAAAGTGAGAATACGCATTCACATGGCACTGTTGTAGCCGGCATCACAAGATATTTACAAGCCAGATGCGCTAAAGATTCATATGTCCCTCCATGCTTCAACCAACATTCCAGGGGACATGCAGCCATGCTGATGATGGGTTCTGCTTGATAATGATCCAAAGCAGTGTGGACTGATGCATGTTCATTTTCACCATCTGAGTCAGAAGCTATCAGCAGAAGGTTGCTTTTCTTTTTTGGTGGTTCAGGTGCTGTAGTTTCTGCATTGGAGTGTTGCACTTTTAAGACTTCTGAAAGCATGCTCCACACCTCATCCCTCTCAGATTTTGGAAGGCACTTCAGATTCTTAAACCTTGGGTTGAGTGCTGTAGCTATCTTGAGAAAACTCACATTGGTACCTTCTTTGCATTTTGTCAAATCTGCAATGAAAATGTTGTTAAATCGACCAACATATGCTGGGTCATCATCCGAGACTGGCTGCTATAACGTGAAATACTGTATATGACAGAATGTGGGTAAAACAGAGCAGGAGACGTACTATTCTCCCCCAAGGAGTTCAGTCACAAATTTAATTAATGCATTATTTTTTTAACAAGCCTCATCAGCATGGAACCATGTCCTCTGGAATGGTGGCCGAAGCATGAAGAGGCATATGAATGTTTAGCATATCTTGAACATAAATACCTTGCTATGCCGGATACAAAAGTGCCATGCGAACGCCTGTTCTCACTTTCATGTGGCATTATAAATAAGAAGTGGGCAGCATTATCTCCTGTAAATGGAAACAAGCTTGTTTGTCTTAGCAATTGGCTGAACAAGAAATAGGACTGAGTGGATTTGTAGGCTCTAAAATTTTACATTGTTTTGTTTTGGAGTGCATTGATGTGACAAATAAAATCTACATTTATAAATTGCATGATAAAGAGACTGCACTGTATGACTTGCATGAAGTGAATTGAAAAATACTTTCTTTTGTTTATCATTTTTACAGTACAAATATTTGTAATAAAAATAATAATAGAAAGTGAGCAGTGTACACTTTGTATTCTGTTTTGTAATTGAAATCAAAATATTTGAAATGTAGAAAAACATCCAAAAATATTTAATACATTGCATTTGGTATTCTATTGTTTAATAGTGCGATTAAAACTGAGATAAATCACAATTAATTTTTTAGTTAATCACATGAATTAACTCCGATTAATCAACAGCCCTATTCATTATTTGAGCTGTGTGATTGCTCACTTAATTATATGATATGATTTCTCTTCCCAAATAGGATAACAACCTTTATAAATAGGAGGAAAAAATGAAGAAAGTCCTAAGGGTGATGATCTCTAGACAGAAGGTATGGAGGACTTTAGGGAGGAAGATCAGAAAGGTGATAAGGAAATTCAAAATTTTCCTTAGGAAATTTAAAAATTTTTCTAACCTTTTCTACACAAGAAAGAGCATTTTATTTGACTGTATGTGAAACCCATATTTAAAACTAGTCGAATTCCCTCATGACTGAAGGAGAAAGATAAGCTTTATTGGCTATCTAGCAGGCTTTACTTTCACTTTTCTCTTGCATTCACACCATGTAACTGCATGTATGCGTATATGTGTGGTCCTCTTCACAAAAGTTGCTGCCAACTCACTGCCTGGTTTATTTGTCTGTGTGGCAGGAGTTTCAGGGTGGTGCCATGGATTCTTTGTATTCTTCTGTCCCATAACACACTCTTTTATATGTCAGTCAGGTGAGTGCGTTGAATCCACTGTTCACATCATTTGCCCACCATTAACTCCAGGAATTAATCGCACGTATGTGCACAGAGGTGTTTGCAAAGGTTTCATGTAACTTTGTCCCTTTCATTGTGGTAAGCATGTTATCATCAGTTGTCAGCAACAGAGTTTCAGGGATTCTGTACCTGTGTTGAGTATCACAACCTACGCATGTCAGATGAAGGACCACTTCAATTTTTTTGTCTCTTCACCTTAATGCCAGGTGAAACTTGAACCAGAACACTTGAAGTGCAAAGTACTTGAAGTACTTTAAAGCTCCACCACTGAGCTAAAGGAAAATCTCCACTGGCTGCTGGTGTAGTCCTGATGTGGGCCTGATTGTCTTCTCATTTACATCATTGTAAACCAAAAATAACACCACCGAAGTCAATAAAATTACATAGGTGTAAAACCAGCATGAGAGCAGAATCAGGTCTGATAGACTTGTTAAGTCTTATAAGAAATTGATCCCTATATACATTTTACATTAAACTGCTGATTTGATTATACATGAATTTGAGAAAGGAAAGCTTGATGATCTTGTTACAGGTTTTATTAAGTCTTAATTTTTATTTGTTTAGAAAACAATCCTACAATCTGCAAGACAAGCACAGTATAAGGGGTAGCTCTCCTTATTAATACATTTCAGTTCATGTCTGATGCTACCAACTCCACTCACTCCCATGCCTGTTTTTGTCCCTCCCACAGGAGAATCTGGACCTTCTGCTATGCCACCCAGAACAGCCTTTCGTCCATGTGTGCCTACCAGCTTTGGTTTCCTCCTTTTGGCTAGCATTCTGCCCCTAATCTGCCTTCAGATGCTTCCTATTACCACTCCAGTCTGACAATTATATAGTAGTGATTTTAAAGAAGAAAACTCTGGAAGTTAATGTAGCATGACAAATGACTGAAAACTTAAAGTGAAAGCATAAAATAAAATCGGTCTTCCAACAACATCAATTCTATCCTTGTGTTTTGACACTCAAATATTCTTCTCACCCACCTTCATTTATACTGAATGCATCATCATTCTATCTATACACATTGGATAATAAAGTCCTTAGGGCAGGGATCCTGTCATACTTTTATGTCAGACACTAACAAGTGTCTGCTCACTTATGTTCAGCAGCAGATACGTTTTTAAAAATAGGTGAACCATGCAATTAATGCTGGCTTCTGCAATGGCAAAGAGCTGTTTTATAATGACAAGAAGTGTGTTTTTCTGGATAAAGTTACTTATAAAGGGAACTGGATTTACAATTAAACATTTTAATGAGAAATCAAGAAATGGGAATGTCATTTATTCCTCTATTATGTGAGCCCCTTTAGAAGATTATATCTTCCATATTTATTAATAGACATAAATGGTGTCATTCCCATGAGCTGATGCCCCTATGAAATGCTTAATACTAAATCCAATTCCCTTTGTATCTAAAGATATCTAGCAAGAAATTCCTCTTGACTATACAAAACACCCCTTTGCCATAATGTTCTCCAGAAAAACCAAAGGGAAGAAAACTTGACAACTGGTAGAGAAAGGGAAGTGAGGGTGCCTGTTTTCCAAAGGGAGGAGGGAAATAACTCTGGGAAGGAGGATCAGGCTAGAGACATGGGGGAGGTGAACTGTTTGGGGCAAGGCCACAGAGCATGTCAACCGGCAGGAGGGGGAAACGCTACAGAGTCTTTGCTTTGACATCTTGTCCTTGTAAATCTTTGCTGCTCCCCAGCTACACCCAGTGCTGGTAGGGGGCTGAGGGGAAGAAAGACTAGCCTGGCCCCCTGATGAGCTATCCAAGAGGCACTGGCATGTATGGTGCTGTTGAACAGACTGGAGCCTCCGGAATGCTTTTTAACGGTTCCGCACAGCCCTCTGCAAAAGGGTGCTAGTGGGCCTGGGGCAGCCATTTCGCTCCAGACGCTGCCCCCCTTTCTCACACAACACGAGGCAGCACCACGCATCGCCAGCCCCGCACCGGCCTGTCCCTGCAACGTTACCCGACCCACTTGTGCAGCAGGCAGGCCCGGCTCTACCTTCCCACCACCCAGCCCTCCAGTACCCCAGTGCGCCCACGGACTGGCTCCTCGGACACACCCGCTGGTCCAAGTCCTGACCGTAGCCCCCCCCCCCCCCTCCTCTCCCCAAGCAACCCATCACGTTGGCACCCCGGCTCTACCCCAGTCCCTGCTCCGCCTCCTCCTGCAGCCCAGCCCCCCCTTCTCCTCCAGCAGCCGCCCCGCCGCCTCGGGCAGCGCTAGGGGCAGCCCGGATCCCGCTCCGTGCTGGCAGCGCGTGGGCAGAACGCGCCCAGGCTGAGCCGCGCACCAGGCGGCGCCGCGAGCAGGGGCAGGGGCAGGGGCAGGGGCAGGACCATTCCACGCTCTGCCTCGCGGCGCCCGCCAGCGGCCCGGGAGAGGGGCGGGGCCGGGCCTAGGCTCCTCCCCCTGCCACTCACGCTCTCCTCCCTCCCCCTGGAGTGTTATAACGCGCCGGGCTTCCGCGTCCCGTGGCTCCCGTCAGGTGGTTGCGTTCCCGGGCCGGGCCGGGGCGGGGCAGAAGGCGCCTAGCGGCGGAAAGAAGTTGGGCAAGAAGAAAGTTGGCCACGAGCTGCCCGCGCGTAGGCAGGGCCGAGCGTCCCGGCTCCCTTCGCCAGGCCTCCGCGGCGGCGAGGGCGGCGGCTGGCAGCTCCCCGGGGAGCAGCAGTTTGCGGCGGGCTCCGCCGGGCACGGGGGGGGCGGTGAGAATGGCTGGTGGAGAAGGCGGGGGCGCCAGGGTGCCCGAGTGCCGGGAGCATCTCTTCAAGGTGCTAGTGATCGGGGAGCTGGGCGTGGGCAAAACCAGCATCATCAAGCGGTACGTGCACCAGCTCTTCTCGCAGCACTACCGGGCCACCATCGGGGTGGACTTTGCCCTCAAAGTCATCCACTGGGACAGCAAGACCCTGGTGAGGCTGCAGCTCTGGGACATCGCAGGTAAGAGCACGAGGGAAGCTGCCCGGACTTGAAGAGTGAGCCCGTTTAGTCTCTCCCCGAGCTCTCCTGGGCCCCTTCAGGCGCTGTTGCTTTCTGAGTTGCACAAGACAGTAATAAACTAGGCAGGAAGATACGCAGGTAAGCCTGTCTTCTCGGGCACCTCTGGGATGAGATCATGCTTGTCTCGGCCTTAACAGAGACACAAACTTACTTGGCCTGCTCCGGCTTTACATTCGTCTACATCTTCACTCGGCCCTCTTGCCCTGGCCATGCTGGACTTCCGTTTTTCCTCTGGGCTCAGAACAGTAACAAAGCTTTTCACTGCTTTTTGAAGACGTGAGAAAGAGGGCATCGTATCCTGCCAGGCTATTATTGCATTCACTTATTGTAATTAGGACACATCTAATATGTCTCCATGTTTTTGCTTTGGCCATAATCAGTTGGGGGCTTAACAGCTGACTTCAAAAGACAGTGGTAGTCTTGCTAACCGCCTGATTTCGGGGAACATAAAACTGTTTATGTTCTGATTTATTCCAGCATTTCAGTAGCGTGGTAACTGTAAAGCTCATTCAATCTTACCATACTCGTGACCGTCATGCTAAAATAGCTTTAAAATAAATAGCTGTAACTCACAAAAGCTTATGCTCAAATAAATTCGTTTGTCTCTAAGGTGCCACAAGTACTCCTTTTCTTATTCCCGGTTAGTGCTGGTACATAGAGAGAGCCCCCTGGGGGACTTAAAGTAACTCGAGCTTCACTAGAGGTGCTTCCTCTAAACTTAAGCATGTAGACTGCAGTGTTCAGGTCTGCCTTGTTAACTGAAGGGCTAAAGTCAGTCTTCCTGCAACTCCTTGCAAAGCTCTGGGGAGGTGCGGGGTTGCTTAATGCTTAGTTCGTTCACATTATGGACAATGTAAAAACAAAATGTCTGATTGCAATACTCGTCTGTCTGGAAAAATGTATAGGGGTTTGGTTTTTTTGAGTTCTCCAGAAATAAAAGCCTGCTGCTGACAAATCTTGTTCACAGCCTGCAATTACATACAGAGGAAAGGAATGTTGTATGAGCCAAACTTCATGCTGCACTTGGGGCACATCTGGCTTAGAGAATTAACCCAGAGTCTGTCACTCTGTCAACTCACCTTATGCTGCAGCATTAAACAGCCCACAGTGTGTAAAATCACACTTTCCTCTGCTTTGTTTACACTATGGGATGGATTAAAGGTGCAGACACCTCTCTAATCTGACATTTCTTTTTTCACTTAGTTAATATCTAGCCCTTAGTGTCTAGCCACACATCTGCTTTCTTTTCCCTTTCTCATCACCTTGTTTCAGGTGTCTCTTTCTAGGTGTGAGACATTGGACTTTAATTCAGGTGTCAGTGCTCAGTGTTATGTGCTTACCATATGAAGGATGGCTTTTAGCATTGCGCTTACTGGGATAGCCTCAGGACTTTCCCACTGAACTTTGAGGGCCCAAGAGAATCCAGCATAAGTCAGCAAAACACAAACGATACAGTGCACGGTACTCTAGCTATGTAGCAAACAACGTCACTACCAGTCACAATTTCCATACAGTTTATGGTACCGAGATTGATCTTAAAAACAGAATGTGGATTCTCCAAACAACAAAATCCTACATGTTAATGCAATGTGTAGAACGTGATTTTCATATACCTCTTTGAAGCTGTTACCCTATAGAGTAGTATGAATTATCCTAAATGGTGTTTTTTGGAGATTATTTACACAATAGAGGTTTAAGACATTTTCTACAGCAATACATCAAATTCAAAATGGCTGAAGTTGTGATACAGTTTATTGCCTTCTGCCACTAACTCTTGATGGAAATGTGACATTCTTAATGCACAAAAATAGAAATTAAAGTCATAAAAACTATACCCCCTTCAGCTTTCTCCCCTGCACAACTGGTGCGTGGTTTTTAACACTGCATATGAATGTCTGACTTCTGCAACTGAATTCACACTGATATGAGAACACTGAACTAGGATTCATTTTGGATTCAGTAGAACTGTTCTGACTTATACCAAATATTTATGGAGAAGAAACTTTATTGAAGTTGCTGTTTGGCCTCTTGGAATACTAAGTTTTGTAGTTTAACTATAAAAGTGAATACTAAACAAGTGATCAAGCAGAATTCAAAGTAAATGAATTGTAACAAATACACTCTCATGTAGTATATGAGAATTGGGGTGATGGAGGAAACAATTCCAGTGTCAAATACCAGCTGTTGTTCACTTACAATAAATTACCTAGGGTAAAACTTTCAAAAGTGCTTAACTGCCTTTCAGTGGGCATTAGGCTTCTAAATCTTGGGGGGGGTTCTTGAAAATATTACCCTTAAATGTCTCAGTGTTTTCTTAAAATGGAGAAATATAACACCGCCATTTCCTGGATCTCAGACTCTTGAGCCACCCGGTCTTTTTAGCTTATTAATAAATATGGAGCCTTTTCATGCTATGTCAGGTTTTATCCAGCTTAAGTCAATAGTGACTAAAAGTTGCCCACTTAGCTGTGAAATAAGTTGGTGGTTCCAGTAATATTGGACTGATGTCAGTGTAACAATTGATACTATGTTGGTAGAGGCCAAAGGCTGAATGGCCATGGAGAGTGGATTTATTTGCAAAGAACTTGATGCCCTTGTGTTGGACTTTGTCTGGAGAATTGATTAGGTGGCTGTCTTGCTACTAACTTTTGCAGGTGATTGGCAGTCGTTAGCAGTGCGTATTCCAAGGGTGGGATAAGGTAGACTGGAAGAATGGTGAGAGCTTGTACTGTTGCCACCCATGGATTAAAGAATAAAATGTTATTCATAAAATGAATTCCTGTACTATGTCCCCCTTTTTTTAAAGGGGGTGGGCTACTCTATGGTGAGTATGTCACAGCCGTCTTCTCTCACCAGTTGCCATAATTCAGCCCCATCTTTATTCTCAAGATGAAATTGGTGTCTTTCAGTATCGGATGGATCCCATGTTTTAGTGGCTTTTAACCTATGACTTGAATTTCCCAATCCCAAGAGGTGCCAGCTCTTGTATGGTGGGTATAAATTAAGCTTGTGCTTGGTCCTGGACTCCATTCTGCTCAAGCACTTCCAGCTGGCCAGAAAAGCTGCACAAATTGACTCCCATAGGCCTCCCCACACCTCATTTAAGCACTGCGGTAACACTCAAAAATCCTTTCAGTTAGTATTTGCAAGCTTATTGCTAGTAGCTGGCTATGTGGTTTTAGAATGACAGTTAACACTGCGTTAACAAGTTCATGCTGAAATTTGTTCTGCAAACATCCAGTATTTAGCAATAAATCTGTTTGGCCTTAACATGTAACTGGGGCCATTAGAAGGTTCAAATGGAAAATAGCAAACATGAGAAGTTGGAATAATTTTTAGTAACAAACTTACTTAAAATAACTTTATTACTTGGGTTCTCTAAATAAAGCCTGTCACTTCACTGATAGTCAGTGTCACACCCTTTAGTAAACATGTGATAGCCAATAAATAGGTGGTGCTAGAGGAAATGACTATCTTCCAGCCCTGCACAGCTGGATGTAAATAATTGGGGCTGTATGCGGATGAAGGCTAAACACTTTAGGCATGGTTTAAAAAGGAAAAAGCTCACAGTGGTGAACACCGTTTCATGAGTCAAATGTAACCTTAGTTTTGTTTTTAGTTGTTTAAAAAAAAAAACTGGAAACTCTGAACTAATACAGATGTGTTTAAAACTCTTCTGAGCATAAGCTTATCCTTAATCCTATTGAGCTTTGGGGCCTAACAGGAAAAGTGCTGTGCAGTACGATCTAGCTAGACTCTGTAGCATACCTCGTGGAAGAAAGAGGCTTTCCTCCTGGAGTTAAGTGAAGGAAAGACTAAAGTGAGGGTTCCACTCTCCACTCAGTATTCACATAATGCATTACTATTACTGTTATGGGGGCATCTCTTTGACTGCGCTAGTCCATTATGGGTTCTGATTGCGTTGTCACTGGATAATGACTGGTGAGGTAGTGGAATGTCTGCAGAATTTAGTCATCTCTCTGAGAGAGGCTAGACCTGATTAAAAGTGGCACCTTTTTAAATCTGGCACTGATTAAAGTGGCAGTGATTAAATCAGTGGCACCTGATTAAAAGTGGCATGCAGTGAGTTGCTGAAGTGATTTGGTACCAGTTCACATGTCCTAGTGGGAATTCTCTCCCCCCCCCCCCTTTGAAATTCCCTAGTATAGAGATTGTAGGAGTGTTGGGGGGACTTGTTGTAGGGGCAAAGGTAACATAAGCTAGTTTAGTGGAGTGGTAATTGGGTGATATACTAAAGCACCAGAATCTCTTGTATACATGCCTGTGTACTGAATTTAAAATAGGCTAGGCTGCCATCTTTTTTGAGGCGCAGTGGTCTTGGTCATGGCAAGGGTGAGAAGTCAGATAGTCCTGTCACTGTATCTTTCAGGAGGAGCTGAGCAGTAATTAGTTGCGTGCTGGTACAGGAAACAAAATCCATAAGATAAGTCTAGAGTGACATTTAGAAAAGGAGTACTTGTGGCACCTTAGAGAAGAACAAATTTATTTGAGCATAATGAGCTACAGCTCACTCCATCGGATGCATGCCGTGGAAAATACAGTGGGGAGATTTATACACACAGAGAACATGAAACAATGGGTGTTACCATGCACACTGTAATGAGTGATGGTAACACCCATTGTTTCATGTTCTCTGTGTGTATAAATCTCCCCACTGTATTTTCCACGGCATGCATCCGATGGAGTGAGCTGTAGCTCATGAAAGCTTATGCTCAAATAAATTTTAGTCTCTAAGGTGCCACAAGTACTCCTTTTCTTTTTGCGGATACAGACACACGGCTGCTACTCTGAAACCTGTCATTTAGAAGAGACTTAACTTTAGCCATCCTGTATTAGCAGAACGCTATAATGCCTTTGCCTCACTTGGTACCTGATATACCTTGCAGAAAAGGTATTGGAACCAATTTGGTTGAACTCCTGTAAAATGAGGGAGGAAATAGTAGGTAAAAAATACAGAAGTGTTGACTCATTCTGGTGTGACATAAGAACATAACATAAGAATGGCCATACTGGGTCAGACCAAAGGTCCATCGAGCCCAGTATCCTGTCTGCCGACAGCGGCCAATGCCAGTGCCCCAGAGGAGTGAACCTAACAGGTAATGATCAAGTGATCTCTCTCCTGCCATCCATCTCCACCTTCTGACAAGCGGACGCTAGGGACACCATTTCTTACCCATCCTGGCTAATAGACATTAATGGACTTAACTGGATAAATTCATGGAGGTTCTATTTTTAAACCCTGTTATAGTCCTAGCCTTCACAACCTCCTCAGGCAAGGAGTTTCACAGCTTGACTGTGTGCTGAGTGAAGAACTACTTCCTTTTTTTTGTTTTAAACCTGCTGCCCGTTAATTTCATTTGGTGTGCTTTCACACTGCAGAAGAAAAGGCTGTTTAATTATAATTAAGGATTTTTTCCAAGTCTGAATTTCAATACAAAGTGAGGGATCTCTTCTTGGGTAACATACCTTGTATGCTATTTGAACCAAGAGGTAGAAGGGTGTGCTGCAAATGTGGCTATATCTAGAAATCAATTTCTTGATTTTAAAAATCCCCGAAGGAGCAAACTTTGAGACATCTAAAGACTTAAAAATAAATACACACCCTATCTTGCTTTCTGTCTAGATATCACCATGGTGATGGTGATCTGTGGTTCTATAAAATGGGAGAAGATAAATCTGGTTATTCCTTTCTTTATAACAGTTAATGCAAACGACCTAATCCTGCTCGTATTATTAGTCTGTATGTTTGTATTCACATCAAAGCTCTAGGGTGAAAGAAGTAGAGTGGGCTCGGAGAGCAATTGATTTTGCTCTATTCCAGAGTCATTAATGTCAATGCCAGACTGAAGTAAGAGTGCTATTAAAGCTTCAACAATTAAATTACTTCATTATTTTTTGGCAGAAAATCACCCCCCTTTTTTAGGGCTTTCATCGTAGTAAGGAAGAATAGCTCTAAATTTTTTAGATCACTAGGTTGATTACCTAAAATTGCATGGAAATTGCATGACACAAGTAAAGAGCTGGAAATGCATGATGTAAGGATTCTATATTCTTGCACGCTACTTGAGTTCTAACATGCTCAATTTTGCTCATAACCCCACTAACTCCAAGACTTACATACAGTAAGAACTCTGAACTGCTATATCTTTCTATCTGGAGATCTCAAAGCACCTAGCTATGAGTTAGGGGAGTGGAGTATATCCCAATTTAAAAGGTGCAGGAAACTGACAAAGGTGAAGTAGCTTGCCCCAAATCTGAGCGTCAGTGTAAGAGCTGCATAAAGTGGAGTGGACAGATTTACAGAAGCACTTGAAGATGCAGATGGACGCCTACTGGAGTTTATAAAAGGTCTCAAGTGAGTTAGGTACCTAACTCCCACTGACTTCCCTGGCCCCATGGGAGCCAGTGAAGGAGGTGCAGGAGGAAAGGACTATCCTGGAGACTGATT